GCTTTTTATTGCTCCAAGAGTGTAAATAATTAAACTTTGCTTCTGGGTAGGCTGGTGTAAATCATCTCAACTTTATTGATTTTTTCCCAATAAAGGCACTGTGTCAAGCTGTAAACATAAATGTTTGTAGCACAGCTTACAGAAAAGTTGTTAAGTGCATGCTATGTTTTGTTTAATGTATGGGGTAATAAACGGAGATGATCCCATTCCTTGAAGCAATGGAAAGCCTGGTGCAGGTAAGGTCTGCAGAGAAGGTATTGATTATCTGCAGGGAAGTGCAACCGCTTATTCCTTGTTGGCAGCCAACATTTTTTTGGAAAGAGGTATTCTAAAGCCTGTATATGAGCAAAACAAATGTGTATGTATGAGAATATGTTTTGATTTGACTGAGAAATCTACATACATGTCTGCAGTGTATGGAGAATCTGGGGTTGCCAGTTGTTTCCAAGCAATTAACAATGCTCCTGGAGTTGAACAGCAGACCCTGGTCGAGAAAAAGACCTTCCTAAAATACTTTGTCCATACTAGTGCTGCCTGAAAAAAAACCCCGACAAAATTAGCACTACTGACTTATATTCAGCCAAGACTGAAAGTTATTGAAGCTTTCAGAGCAGCTGCCAGCTCTGCTTTTGAGCCATTCTTGTGTTTTGATATTCAGCCTGTCCTTTTTAGGAACTTGCTGTGTATCTGGAAGCCATAAAGGTTTGTGAAAAATTGCCAGCATCTTTGTCTTTACACCCACTTCTTTTTCTTTTTGGTCTCGTGATTCATTCTCATGTTTTGCACCCACATTTTACACAGCAAACTGCAGCTTCTCTGGTCATTACATAAAAGTGTGAGTAAAACCAAGCAGTGTCCCTCCTCCCCAACAAATTAAAAAAGGATGAAAAAATTTAAAAAGAGAGGTTCAAAGAATCTTCCCAGCCCTTCCCTGCCCTGGGATGCTGATGGCATTCCAGAGGGATATTGCTCTGTATAAAAGAGAGACAAAAATGCATCTTGTCACTGAACAAAGCTGAGGTAGTAGCTGAGTATTTTAATTGAAAAGTAAAAAGCAGATAAAACATTTCTATTATTACTGAAGGTCTTCTCCCCTAAAAGCATTAGTATCATTGTAGAATTATTTATCATTGTAACTGTAATGAGGGAAGTGCCTTTTCCATTCTCATCAGTATGGCAGTGTCCTTTCTGGTAGTCTCTTCTGCTGCTCTGTAGACTTCAATGTTTGACCTCTTCCGTAATGTTGGATAAGATATGCCATAATGAAGGTAGCCTGGTTTCATGAAGGTAATTTTAATCTTATAAATGGATCAGATGATGACAGCCTACACCAAGGGTAAAAGCACTTTCCCATCTGTGAGGAATTGCAGAGGGAATTAACCCTCTTTCTGCTTTGCTTTTCATAGGAGGGATATTCTGTGTGCCATTGACCGCTGAGGGTGGATAACAACTGGTGTTTTCAGAGGTATTGTTGGGACTGCATCCCTCTGACCAGTTTGTTCTAAACAAGAGAGTACTTAGGGGCCAAGTGGAAGGCAACTTGGCATTTCAGAAGGCCCGATCTGCCTTTTGATTCTTTATACTTGGGCATGTTTATTCTTGGCACTTTTATGTATTTTATTTGAGCCAAACTATTGATTAGCAGCAGTGCACTGTTGAAACAGAGATAGTGGTTGGGACACCCTGGGCAGATTGAACAGAGTTCTTCTATTTTTGAACCTTGTACTACTTGATTTTTATGAGCAATATGCACACAAGTTTGATATCTCGTCAAAGGAGCTTGAGAAGAAGTCACTGCAGCTGAATCAAGTCATATTTGCTCAAGGATGACAGAATTACTGAGTCAATTAGGTTGGAAAAGACTGCTGAGATCATCAAGTCCAACCTATGACCTAACACCGTTGTGTCAACCAGAGCGTGGCACTAAATGCCGTGTCCAGTCTTTCCTCAGACGTCTCCAGGAATGGTGACTCCCACACGCCCCCACCCCCAGAAGTCCATTCCAGTGTCTAATCACTCTTTATGTGCAGAAATTCCTCCAAATGTTGAAGCTAAACCTCCCCTGGTGCAGCTTAAGACTGTATTTTCTTGTCCTGTTGCTAGTTGCCTGGGAGAAAAGGCAACCCTGCCTGGCTACAACCTCCTTTCAGGTAGTTGTAGAGAGTGAAAGGGTCACCCCTGAGCTTCCTCTTCTCTAGTCTAAACAGCCCCAGCTTCCTCATCTGATCCTCATAGGACTTGTACTCTGTACTCTTGTACTTCACCATCTTTATTGCCCTTCACAGGACTCGCTCCAACACCTCAATGTCCTTCTTGAAGTGAGGAGCCTAGAAATGGACACAGTACTCAAGGTGTGGCCTCAGCAGGGCTGAGTACAGAGGGACAATCACTTCCCTGGTCCTGCTGGCTACACTGTTTCTGATACAGGCCAGGATGCCATTGGAATGGCCGGGATGGCCACCTGTGCACACTGATGGCTCCGGTTCAGGAGCTGGTGACCAAAACCTGCCGGTAC